ATATACATGTTATGCACTTTTAAAGAATCAACTCTCTAAGAGATCTCCACCCCCTCCCCCACACCCCTTGCTTCTCCTCTTAACTGTAGAAATCCTCTTTCTACCTTGTTTGTCGCATAGAAATTTTTACATTACAAAAGTACACGTACCGTTTTCGTCTCGTCTCGTACCTTAACTCCGTTCGTTCTCTCTCTTAACGAATAGAAAATTTTTCCTAAGTAAAAAACGCATGCCGAGAAAATATCACTTTGCTCTTTTACTTTACAACCAACAACAAAAAGAAAAATAGAAAAAGATAAAAAAACAAAATGTAAATTATTGCTTGCAATATATAAGCAGTCAAGTTTATGTGTATGCATAAACACATACACACAACACTTGCACATAATACATACACACATCACATGCATACAACACATGCAAACATCACATGCATACAACACATGCAAACATCACATGCATACTATACATGCATACTATACATGCATACTACACATGCATAATACACATGCACGCATATAACACATGCATACAACATGCATGCACGCAGAATGCCTTTCACGGTCGTTTTCAAAAGTTGTCGGACCTTGGTTAAATTTGTTTCTTTATATATGTATAATAATTAAAAAGAAAAATGAATAAAACCAAACAATAAGACATTTCTCAGCAAGTGCATAGAAACGTTTGTATTTGTGAATTAAAAAAAAAGAAATATATGTGCAGATCACACGTGTTAAAAGTGAAATCAACAGCTTTGCTTGTGAGAAAAGTGAGTAATCTAGCGGCCACTCAAAGAACTAACATAAAAACATAAGTTTTTACACTAGACTGGTCAATACTAGACAGGTGTAGTATCGAGATGATGTAAGTCAACGCTTCGTAGTATGCAGTCACCCACATATACAGACACATATAGCTATATTCTCTACACACATATAGCTACATTCTAACACATTCAATAGCTATATTCTGTCTCATTCTCTCGCAGGCTCAATCCAATATGTTTGTCTCTTTTTGAAACGTGACGCGTTTCATCGCCGCGTTACATTGCCGCGTTACATTTTTTCAAATCACCCCCATTCTTAAGAAGTTCTCACTTCAAAAAAGCAAAGTAAACAACCCAAGCAATTGTTAAACTCACAAATTGTTAAATGTTTTACAGAATAGGGTTTGAGGTGGGAGTGATGAGTAAAAATTTGCAATAGTATAATGAGATAGAAAAAAAAAAATGAATCCCCTCCCCAACCCTGTAATTTGTAATCGAGTACTATTTATCTTCAAAGTTCTGTATAAAACGTTTCAATTGAAAAACTTTGTTGTATGAAACAATGGAAAAAAAAAAAAATAAAAGAAAAAAAGTATTTAATAAAAAACATTACGTTATTTCGTTGTACCTATCTGTCATGACAAAACGGAAAACGCAAACGCGATTAAAAACGTATTTTTCTCTTTTCCTGTTTGGATGGAACGTGAGATCTATAATAAATAAAAAAAAAATAAAATAAAGAGATAAAGAAGACAAAAAAAAGAAATAAAAAACCAACATAAGAGGAAAATGTCAGATGATCGTTTCCGCAAGAACAAATACTACGAACAACGCGTATGTGTGTGAATGTGTGTATTTCAAAAATGATTACACAGCTTTTCTCTTACTTTTATCCTCTTCCTCGAATCGTTTGATTATTACGATGACGAAGCTGATATATACGACGTTTACAACATTTAACTCAAACTCCAATGGGTAAGAATGTATCTCGATTAAAAATAGATTAAAATAAAAGATAGTATCATCTTTTTAATCCGTAATATAACGGATAACAACGTATATTAAATAAATAAATGATTCGAGAGGTGCACATTTATTACATTGAAAAAAATGTATGTATAATAAAATCAATAAATAATATAAATATAATTAAATAATATTAATTTATAAAATACATCATATTAAAAAAAAATTTAATATTAATTATATATTTAAATTTATAATAATATTAATTTAAAATTTATTAAATATTTAGTTAGAATTGCTTAATATTAAAACAAGATATGCCATATTATATATATATATATTACATTTGATCAAGAGTTTGGTTACGTCGAGTTTTTGTTTCTCGTCCGATCATCGAAGTCAAGCAGGTTCTGATTATGATCAATAAATGGATGGGTGACCTGCCGTGGTTGGTTGTTGTTTTTGATCTCTTATAATACTTATATTATATTTTTATTATATAATTATATACAATATATTAATATTATTATAATTAATATGTATAAGGTTAATAATTAAATAAATTAAAATTAATATAATTATATTATAAATATATAACATAATATATTATAATTATTGCGATAATATACTAATGTTAATAATTATATATACTATATTATAATTATATATATCAAACATAATAATTATATTATAATTATTTATATACTAATATTAATAATTATATATACTATATTATAATATATATATATCAAACATAATAATTACATTATAATTATTTATATGCTAATATTAATAATTATATAATATATATATTATGAATAGAACAAGAAAAAATAGAACTAAAAAAAAAATTGTAATTATAAATAAAAATAAAAAAACCACGGACGAGTAGTTCTCACGTCACGTGGTAGAATCCTAAAAAAAAATTCTAAATACAAAAAATGATTAATTGATCTAAACGAATGGCAGATTTGTTTTTTTTTTAACGCTTCTTTTTTTAAACGCAACGCAACGATACCAAGTAGAAAAATGAAAAGAAAAATAAGTTGGTAAAAATAAATGCGAAAGATACGCGCGTTAATTGAAAGAATACGTGTGAAATAAATAAAAAAAAAAAACTAAAAAAGGGAGGGGGTAGTATAGCGCAGCAGCAGCAGTAGCAGAAAAAACGTTTAAACGGGATATAAAGAAATATTAGGTGTTTTTAAACGTGTTGATGATAAATCCGTGGTGCGTTAGAATCGTGACCATGCTCCTCCTCCCCCTTCCCCTCATCCTCCTATCTAGATTTTTCTTCATAATACCCAAGTAATAATTTCGGACGACTACGACGATTATGTGTAATACCCGATTCATCTAAAACCCTAACACACATAACACACATCAACGAAAAAATACTATGAACGTTGCTAGATGAATAAAAAGGGGTAATGGAATTGGTTAGCAGAAAAATAAAAGACAAAAAACAAATAAAAAGACAATAAAGTTGATATTTCGTTAAAATTTGTATTCCTCTATGTGTGTATATATGTCTTGTATGTTTTTGAAAACATTACACGCGTTGGATTTCGATCGTAACCTAAAAAAAAAAAATTGAAAAAAATCGAAATAAAGGTGTTATAACAAATGAGGTTCAAATTAACGAAGTTTTCAAGTGTTATAAGTTATAATTCGTGGGAACACTTTTATTCGCGACAAATAAAAGAAAGAAATAAAGAAAGGAACCAGTATCTATGATAAAAACTATCCTGATTGCGCTATTTAACACCTACAAGAGAGAAATCTTCCAGAATAAGAAAGAAAAAAAATAGAAAAGAAAATGAAAGAATAAAAAAAAAAGAGGACACGAGAGCAAGGGGCAGAGGGTAGGAGGCTGTGGGGGATAAAATATTACGAAGGGGTTGTTCTTGAAAGAAAGAAATGTAGCTAATTACTTAGAATATACTCCCGCGTAGCCGCCATTATTATAGTCTTCTTTTAAAAGAAGCTACTACTACTATGACTACTACTATTATTATTATTATTATTATTACTATTACTGCAAACCCCACCTTGGCATGCACCACCGTGGCAACTCGATACATCATTTTTAGACTTGAAACTATCATATGTTCTACGAAATTACGTCGTTACTGTAGAAACTTTCCAGATTCTCTGCTACCGTGCCGAAAGAAAAGCCGCGAAGTCAGAAGAAGAGAGGAAATGATGGTTTAAAAAACAAAATAAAAATGAAAGAAAAGTTTAGCAGTAGTATTTTATATCTTTTACCAAGTAACAGCACCAGCAGCAAGTAGCAAACCCCCTATATCGCATTCCCATAACCTTAATTTAGTGTCCACCATTAAACGGATCGATAGTTTAAGAAAATAATGGAACTATTTAATCTAAAACTCTACAAGTTTTTAGTTACTCCTTATGATTTACTATTATTTAAGTCATCGATGTGTGTGTGTGTTTTTTTTTTAAATCAATTTAACCTAAACTTGGTTAACGTGTTAAATGTAATTGAGGAGGGGACATGTTTAAGACAAATTTATTGATTTTAATTATCTTAAACATGTTTATAAATCTTCTTTTATAATTCTATATCTACCTACACTTACTCATTCTCTCGTTGATTACTTAAATTACTTAAATGAATCAATAAATGCCATTTAGGATAATATGTCTTCTCTGAGAGATTGATGATCATAATAATAAATCATCTAGCGTAATCATTACAACGTAAGCAAATCAAAATAATTATTAATTGTTTATATTACAACGTGTTTATAAATGAAACTATTTTTATTAACAAACATATCACACTATGTAAAAAAAAAAAAAAATAATAATTTAATTACATTAGTGTAACCATTTATTGAATATTTTATCCCAACTGTTTTATTCACCTAAATAAAATGGAAATATAAACCTATAAATATACGTATGCAATTATTGCAATATTTTAAGATGGGAATAAAAACTATCCCAACATGTGCATTTACGGTGCATCAAAACTATGGCAAGCAAGGACAGTTTTGATGAAACCTTGCCTGAAAGAATTTAACCTAAAAAGATATAAAAATGTTCTAAAACGTAACAAAGAAAAAAAAAAAAGAACACGCGTATAGATCCAACATTCTCGATGACCTTCGAATCGCTAAACCTCACGTAAATGTGTGTCACATACGTGCAAACACACATACCATCACAGGTATCACTTTAACAAGACAAATTGTAAGATTGTCAATGCTGAAAGATAAAAAAGACAATTATTGTGACTAACCTGTCCATGATTATCAAATCCATGTTTCTCAGCAATCTCAGCAGCAGCATCGGATCCTTCCGGTATGTGAACCGCGAACTGATTCGAGTAAATTGGCACGGGCCTTGCACGAGGACGTGGCTGGGGCTGAGGATGAGGATTGGGGGAGGCATCTGCTTCTGCTTTTGACTTTATCGGTAAACCGACCACCACCAGCAGGAAACACACCAAGGTCACTCTGACGATCATCTCGTCGTCGTAGTTGTCCTCGTCGTTGTCGTCGTCGTCGTTGTTGGTTGTTTAACCGTTGACGTACGAGAGGAACTAACCGCGCGACACGCCGCCGGACACGGACAAGGGACAATTACGAGAGTAACACGACGACCGACTCACACTAGTTGGATAAAGACAAAGAGAGAGAGAGAAGGCGAGAAAGAGAGAGAGGATGGGTTGGTTGGGAAGGGATTGGTTGAGTCAACCAGACAGACAGACGGTCAGTCAGAAAACTGGCTCAAAAAGAGTGCATGAGTGAGACAGAAAATATACCCAAATTGAGGGGGGAGAGAGAGAGAGAGAGAGAGAGAGAAACAACTTGATTTTCTCTCCACTCCTCAAATATCTATCTCTATTTCTATATCTGTCTCTCTCTCTCTCTCTCCCTCTCTCTTTCGTTTACCACTCTATCTATCTTTGTCACACAACCCCGAGATATTTTCAATTTCGATATTATCGAAATTGTTTCAAGGATCGACACACACACGGTTTTTTTTCTTTTTTTAAGTTTGTAACAAACGAAATTACGATAACTTTAATTTACTTTTTCTTTCTTTTTTCACGTGACACGCGAATAAAAAAACAACACTCGATGACGATGACGATCTTTTGGTTTGTTGTTGTTGTTTTTTTAAACAACAAATTTCTTCAATTTCTTCAACGTTGACGTAAAGATGTCTCCTTGAGAGATTGTGATTCGTTGATGGATAGTAATAAAATATTGAATAATCAATAGATGTATATATGTGTTATCCCGACGTTATTTTTCTTCTTAGTGAGGAGAAGATATATTTATTTATTCCAAAAAAAAAAAAACTCGAACGAATTGAAAAATTACTCCGTCGAAAGATTTTGATAACACGCGCGTGTTTCTTCCTTCCTGTGTATTCTTCTTTTCCTTGTTTTTGGTGGGGTGTCGGGTTCTTTTTCAACGGCTTATCTGAAACAGGAAACGAAGGAAAACCGCAGATTAGCGATGCAAACTCTTGAAAAACCGCAACATGAAAATCAAGAAGATAGCACTCGATTTCTATTTAGCAATTTTTTGTTCGTTTTTTTTTTTTAAGAATGAGAAACGCATAATTGTTTATTTCTTTTATTTATATCAATAATATTTCAATATTCATTCATTTTATTATTTGTTCATATCCTAAATCACACTCCCATTCCCCTTCCTCTTCCTCTTTCATTTTCCCTTCTACTTCCAATTCCTCCCCTTCCACTGGCATTTCCCCTTCCCTTGGCTGTTCGTTCATTCGTCGAATAAGATTTTGTCGTTGTTTTAATATTTATTATTACGTTTTCAACGTACTATTCCTTCCTTTTAACAAATTCAAATGATAAAATGAAATATCCGCTAAATTTCGGGCGTGTTCGCCCCCTGTTCGTTTATTTAAACAAAAAGAAAAAAAATCACGAATAAACTTTAAACCAATATAAAAAGAAATTAATAAAAATACCCAACATACTTTTTCTCTACCCCTCACTCTTCCACAACCAACCAACCAACCAACCCCCTCCCTATCAAACATTCGTTCCTCCTGGCACAAGCTTGACGGCTTGTATAAATTGAGTTTTTCGACGTGTCGTTCGTATGTTATTTCCCCCTTCTCTCTACCCCTACCCTCATACCTTCGTATGTCCCACCCTCCAAAAAAAAAAAAATAGAAACGTTACGTGTGAGTATTAAAATTTACGTACAACCTTTTCTCGCGAACGACACTTCGATGATATTAATTTGATGAAAAAAACAAAAAAATTGCAGATGAATCTAACAGGATGACGATGAAATACACACACATGCAGATGAAAGTTGTTTACAGGGTCGTAAAAAATAGGACTCGATCCAATTAGAGATCAAAATTCTTAGGAGTTTTATTTTTATGACATGAAACGTTAACATTGAATCCAACTACCTTGATATTATAAAAACATGATTAAAACGTAATCTCATACGTAGATGCAAGTTTAATTAGCAATGACAGAAGTGTACGAAGGAAGGTTTACAAGTTCTATTGGAGGACACATATGCAATAGGAAGACAGTAATAAATGTTTGCTAATAATGTAACGTGTTAACAATCATCGAGGCCTATATATATATATATATATATATATATATATATATATGTGTGTGTGCGTTGTTGATAGTTAAGATTAAATTTTCAAATGTCCATTCTCTCAGTTTCTCGCTCTGACAAACACACATACATCCACGCATAAATCTACACATGCACACACGAATACGCAACACTTATATGGAAACGTGGGAGGTTAGAGGAGGGGTAGAGAGAGAGGAAAATAAACCTTGGTAAACCATTGGTTGTGGAGACTGCAGTAGTGTTCGATCCACGGGTATAAACTCGTCACCCAACGCATTTCATAATGTATTCCGTTCCCATTTTCTCTGTATTTACCGAAATGTTGTACCGTACTTGGAATAGCTTAGGCATATGCTAATCTTTCTCTCTCATACTCTCTTGTCTCATCATCACCATCATCATCATCATCATCATCATCATCATAATCACTGATTTTCGATAGTTACAACGTTCTCCTAGGTTAATTAATAGCTTTCGATGTATAAATCATTGGTTTCGTGGTTGATAATCATCCGATCGTGTGTATGTGCATATGTGTGAAAATAAACGATAAGCCTGATAGTTCAGAATTCGTAGCAAAGTACAGAACCATCCCCACCACTCCCACACTACCCCCACCACCACCACCACGACCACCCACGGCTTAACGCACTCGTACTTTCGACGATCGGGGAAAGGGATCTCTGGCGTAAAACAGAAAAGGGGAGGAGGAAGTTTAATGGAGTCAGTAGGAAACGAGCTGGATAGACACACGGATAGATAGATAGATAGATAGATAGATAGATAGATAGATAGATAGATAGATAGATAGATAGATAGATCGATAGATGGTTATAGATAAAGAGAAAGAGAGATGGAAAATGTGAGAAGGTAGAAACTAAAGGGTGAGAGAGAGAGAGAGAGAAAGAGAGAAAGGGTTTTAATGCACTCGTCGAAACTCTGGGAAAGCATCAAACGAGACGCGTACGAATATAGTACATATGATATGTATGATATGTATGATATGTGTGTGTGTGTAAATGTGTATATATGTTGCTTACCAATGTAAGCTCGAGATGATCCAGTTTTCGATCAAATGAGAGACAAACTCTCTACATGCTAGATGCAATATACGTATTTCCTTCCTCTTCAAAGTTTCACGATTTCCCCCTTGATTCGTGTATGGAAGATAAAGAGGCAGCTAAATGAACGCAAGCAGAGATGTCATTCCTGATAATGAATTACGTTGATATAGCGAAACAACCGAGATTATAGCAAATCCTATAATCAAACATCATCTTTCTACCCGAAACGTTGGATACATATTTATATTATTATACAAGATCTTTCCAAATACGTGAACGTAATATGATTGGTTGCCTAGGTGAGTGGGTGAGTCGGTTGGTTGGTTGCCTGAGTTTGGTTAAATGACATCAGGACAATTATTTTTAAACCTTTGATTGCTATTAACGCATATTTGCTTTCGTTAAAACTTGGTTTCCACATTGATCATTGATTTTAATTTTATCATATAAAAATTATATAAAAGATACAAAACTATTAATTAATAATATCAATTAATCTAAAACAGTTGCATTAATAATAAATAATTGCATCCTTACAATTCAACATTACAGTTAAAAATATTCAACACACAAACACGAGTTATAAGATTATTCGCAATAATATTTTGAGACACCCTGTATATTAAAACGCAAAAAAAAAATCCTTTTATATACCAAAGTTAAATATTTATAAGTTTATTTTTAGATTACATTTTGACGGAGGAATAACATTTAAATGAGTACGAACAAGTTCAACTCTCGTATCACTCTCGATGGTTCATCATTTTTCGTTCGACATGTGAAAAGGAAGGGGTAGGGTGGAATGGGGGGGGAGGAGGGGAGTAGGAGTAGTATCATACATATACATAGTTAGTATCGATTCGTTAATAGAATATTTCAATCAATTGGATAAACGTTTGACATCGTTTTTCAATATATATATATATATATATTTCTCATCGATTAATACATGACCGTCATTTTGAACGTTTTATACTGGATGTGATATCGAATTTCATTGGGAACGATTTACAGTTATTTTTCTCATCAATAGTTATTAAACGTTACGTATGTGTAACCATTTACACATAAACGTAGTATACGGTCAATTAAAGTTAGTTTTCGTCTCGTTTGAAATGTCATAATTTAAATATAACCACGATGATTGAAAGATAAATATTACCATTTGAGAGTAGTGGGGAGGAAGAGCGAAGTGGTGGGGAGAAATAGCACAGTGGAGGGGAGAAAAAACGGTGAAGAGGGGGAAAGGTTTCCCG